CCTGGGGGCAGCTGGGAGCCCAGGCTGTAAGTGCTGGTTTTACCAGGCACAGGGGTAAACGTGCCCCCGCCTCTCCTCCCTGTGTCCACTCCCCCCACCATGCCCAACACGGACAGATGTGGCTCTTCCTTCTCCCTAAGCAACCCCCTCCCCAGGCCGTTAGGGGAGACACCTCCCCCCACCTCAAAGGGCACAGGGTGTTGTCGCTGCCCCTCTGCAGGGGGAGAAGGACCCCTCAAGCTCCAGATAGACCCTGCCAGGCTTTGCACAGGGAAAAGTCTTCCTGCTCCACCCCACGGCCCTGAGATCCACACCTGGAAGCCCAGGCCAGTTGCTCCCAGGCACAGGAACGCAGACCATACCCAACGCCTTAGTTCCCCACTCAGGCCCCACAGCCAGCTCTAGCTTTCACACACACCCCAGCTGACATAGCCAGCCCCCCCCATACCCACACCCACTTTTCCAGGTGCTGTATCTCTCCTGCTTTCAAAACAGGCCTGAGCCTCCACTTGTCAAACTCTTTATTAGGTGAGAGCAGCTGGAAAGAGAAATGACTGAGCCCGGCTGCAGGGAGTGAGACTGGGGGAGGGGGGGGGCGCGCACAGACAGGAAACATCATTCTTCCTCCCACCTACCTCCAGCAGCCACCCCCCAACTCCCTCCCCCCACTGCAAGTCCAAACGATTGACATTGCGTAGAAGTAGAAAAAGGCACAGAACAGAATACAGCCGAGCACCCAGCAGCGAGCCAAGGCCCCGGGCCGCTGGGGGGGCAGATGGACTCTCGTCTTCAGCCGCTCAGCACCATCCGGACCAGCTCTGTGGAGAGAAGGGAGGTGTGAGACCCGGCAGCTGCCCTGCGCTGAGAGAGGCACCTCCATAGCTGGGGGAGAAAGAGTCCTGGGAGGGGGATGGGAAGAGAGAATGCAACCGGGCTGCAGGGCAGGGTCTGCTGGGGTTGGAGGGGGAGTTAATGTGTTTAGTGACCCACTTAGCTGCCTACCTTCCCCCCACCCCCCTCGAGAGCCCCAAAAGGTGCAGGGCTCTGCAGCTGGTGCAGGCAGCCGCACCGGCTCCAGGGTCAGACCTGGAGCAGGGAGAGCTGGTCCCCTCCACTTCTTCCTGGGCAGATGCTCCTGCTGCCCATGGAAAACCCACGAACAATGGGTGAGAGCCACAGCCCTGGGCCCCACCCCTCAGCACAGCCCCCCACCACAGCTGTCCCAGGACACACACTCCCCCCTGCAGCAGCCCGGCCTCGGAGAACAGCGCTCAGACCCGCGGTGGCAGAAAGAGGAGGCGGGG